AGCGCTCATCTCCTCGCTGCAGCCAGTGAGAACGCCTGCTTCCTCACCTCAGCCAATGGGGAGAGCAGTTCACCATCACCGTTTGTTTATTATAGCCAATGAGAGCTCTCAGCACTACCACTCATGACAAAATCTGTCAGAGGTGCCTGTGCAACACTGGGGTTTGCAGACTAAACTTTTGGGCCGCGGTCGTGTGAAAGTGCCCCAATTCTGACTACAAACTGTGTTTGTGTTTTACTTTTCCTGTTAAAAATGCAGCCAATTAAAAGGAGATATAGAATAGTGCAGGGACTGCACCTGAAAACATGTTTATCTTACACCATCCTGAGGGATAAAAAGTCAAGGAAGGAAGGCTCACCTGTGCTGTATTTCACCGAGTAACGTACCACAGATGTATCGTATGCAGCCTGTGAGTAAGAGAGACGCGGAAAGATAGCTAAAGGGGCCTTTATTTCAAAATGGAGTGGAAAATGTCTCACAGATGCGCATTTTCTGGGGTGTTCCTGCCACAAGGAGCGGAAGAGGGGGGCTCTCAGGCAGGAAGTGCATTTGGACGGGGGGCCTGGGGCCTGCCCTCTGTTCCAGCTGGGTCTTTGGAGAGGTACTTCAGGCTGCGACTAAGGGGCGGAGCCTCCAGTCCGTCTGGGGCTGATGGCTCAGTGGGACATTCGTGGGCGTGACAAGATCCTTCTTGCCTCCCGTGGTTCACACTTTGATGATGCTCTGTGGTCATTCCAGGGCCATGCTGAGCGAGGCTCCGGTAAAACAGCAGTTATGGGTTTTAACAGTTTAGTTTAGCACTTCTGCTGACCTAAATGCCCGATAATCTTCCTTCTGAACAAGTCCTCTTCTTTGCCCACCCTAAATATAAAAATGAACAATACAGAAGGTGTCTATACATTGTTAGGTGTAAATATAACCTCTATGCCTTTGCGTGTGAAGTAATTTGTCCCTAAAACATTGTTGTTTATCCATCCATCCATTCATCCATCCAACCATCCATCCATTTTCTATACCCAGAATGCATATTAGTATGCATGGCTTGTTATCTCATTAGCATTGTGGGTACCAATGGTCGGTAGTCCAGCTCCCGCGCATTGGGGTGAATGTTCTGCTGAAGGAGGCACCTGCCACACTTCTCCTGAGGCTGAGGCTGCACCCCCTGCTGCCTCAAGGTCTTGGCGTTCAGTGGCTAAGGGTGAGGGCGCACACACATACGTACGATTCCGGGAAGCCCCCCCCCCCCCACCTTAACACTTTGGCAGCCTGGCCCTCTGCCAGCCCCCAGCTGGTCTCTGGACTCTGGGCTGTCATAAATCAGGCCCAGTTACCATCATGGTGCACTGGCCCACTTTTATCTCACTCTGGAGGGAGAGCACATTGCCACCCGGTCCCCTGCTCTCTGTGGCACAAACCGTCCATCACAAGGGGGAGGAACACTTCTCTCCTACTTTAACTTACACTGGAAGATCGAGTTCTACGAATGGGCAAAATTTCCGCCTGTTTATGTCAGACAGCTGTTTGACACTGTCGCAGAAAAGTTTGAGATTCACACAAGACAGCGGTGTTGTCCTTTGACCTTCTGCTGCGAGGAGTTTAGGGTTCGTCAGCAGTCCTTGCCTGTCCCACACACACATTATCTGCTCTGTTTCCTTAAAGCTCTCCTGTGTTTTCCTGCCTCCACAGATCTTACAAATAATGTATGTTCACACACCTCCTGCTCTCTGCCAGAACAGAGCAGCTCGTAATGAAAAGCCCTCAGTCAACGTTCATCCTCCACCCGGCTTAGTCAGACAGATTCCATCCATCCATCCATTTTCTAACCATTTATCTTGGTCAGAATAATGGGGAGCCGGGGCCCACCCAAGCAGCACAGGACACAGAGCTGCTCCTCACTTTGGACGGGATGCCAGTGTTTGCCAGACTGGCTTTCGTGAGGGCAGATTATGTCCATAGTGCCACCTTGGGAACAGTAATAACATGCATACTGAGATAGGCTGAGATTCGCAGATTCCTACTGTTTAACCTCAACGCAGATCCCGGGAACCGCGTGGGGTGTCCGCTGCAATAGGGGTTTAATAATTCATCTTTGGAAAAAAGAAAAGATTGTCCCTTCCTGCCCCAACGGCTAGTAGGCAAGCCCCCCCCCCTCCAGTGTGAAGATGGCATGCGGGTAAAATGCAGACGTGTCAAAACAAGCCAGCTTCCTGCCAGACGGTGCTGGAAACAGCGGGTCTGTCAGCCATGTTCAGCACATTCCATATGAGGGCCCTGAGTTTCGGCAGATAAGCCCCTAACCCCATGCTCACCCTAAACCTGAGGGGTCCAGCTCCGCGACACATCCGCATGTAGCCTGTGGGGCCAGGGCAATGTCCCGAAGCAGCTCTCTCAGTCTGAGGTCTCTGTCCTGCATCCTCTGCATTCATCACACCATCGTAGTGGTGGTGGGGTGGGGGGGGTCGAAGGATTTTGCCTGAAAATGCCTGACAGTGACGTGTTTGCTCTTCTACGCATCCGTGACAGCAGCTATGTGTCCCACACACTCTGATATGTGACCCGCATGCACTACTGAAAGCCCTTATATTTACATCTGCTGTACACCACTACGCCGAAATCGCCTGTGATGATCGTGTCTCTTACACGGCAAGGTCTCGGATGTTACGCATAGATGAACACACGATGGGGGGAAAGAGGGTGTGGCTCTCGCCATATTTGTGCGTAAGGCCGCCCTTGCGGAAGCTCCAATCCCATAATTCCCTGGTTCTGAGCGAGGGAAGTGGCTTGATGGAGCTGGTAATGGAATAAAGATATAGACAGTCATTTATATAAGAAATGGATGGCAGGCAGCCTTGACTTCCAGGCCATAAATCTTCACTAACTGGTGCACAGGCAGTCAGAGATGAAGAGAGCAGAGGGAGAGAGAGAGAGGAAGCGAGTGAGAAAGATGTTTGTGTGTATGTGTTTATATGGGAGCCTGCTTCAGACGTAGGGAGATGGAGAGTGGGTGGGGGCGCTGGCTTTCGATAGGAGTGCCCTGCGAGGAGGCGGGGTTCGTGTAGGACCAGGTGACTGGCTTGATCCAGACTGTGCATTCATTGAACTTAGATTAAACCCCCAAGCATTAGTGTGAAGATGACAGCAGTACGAGCAACGTCTATTCGGTGAGTCCAGCGTAATGAGCAGAAATGTAAGACTTTAACGGTAGATACTACCTCGCTGAGAAAGATGGAAGGATGCTTCATTTTCTACTCTTTGTAAGTACTTTTAAAAAGTTGCTGCCTGTGGGTCCCTCGATTCCCAGACGTTCCTTGACGATCCGTGTTGTCTGGGCCGTGCACCACGAGGTGCTGGGGTCATCTCCCAGGAGTCGCGGTCAATCTTTCCAGAATAGAGCAAGAGTGAGATTCGGGAAGGTATCCGGCGAAATAAGGCAGCTTCTCAAACCTCATCAAACGCATCATGGTGCCTGAGCATGGTGAGCAGCGGCTCACACCTTTCACAACCCATCCCACTGCGGTGTCCCAAGAAAAAAACATTTCACAGCACATGCTGTGTTTAATCCTGGGATTTTAACATTTTAGCATCACGCCCTACAGAAAACCCTACAGATTTTCTACAGAGAGGCATGTTGGAGAGTGGGGAGGGTGTTAATCAGCTAACAAAGACATAACGATTAAGAACGTCATGGACGTGACAGTATAAGGTGACTGCTGTTGTGCCTGCACAGACGGGGCGTGGTTCTGCCTATAATTTTTGGGATTAATTAATTATCCTTATTCACTTGGGGGACCACCAAACCGTCCATCTGGATTTATGTGTTCCCAGCTACTGGGACAAGGAGGCCAGGACACTGCTGTCAATGGTCCAGTGTCTCATTGGTTTTCCAGCCTGCTGATCACATGTAGAATATGCAAAGAGGTCTTTTAGGACTTGAGCCAATCCTCTGTACTGTCTGCTGCTGTGGATGCCAGCGATTCGTCCATGAGGAGGCAGTACATTAGGACACACAGGGTCAGGGTCTGCTTTATCCATCACGCCGGGTGTGTGTGGCACACCTTGTTCCGACACACTCTTTCTGTGTTTTCCTCTGAGCGCCGTTCCGTGACTGAAGCCCGGCGTGGCCCTTGATCCATGCAGGAAGCGGTGATGGATTGCACTTTGTGCTCTCGCCGAGAGCCTGACGTTTGTTTTCCGCTGTATGATTAAAATATCTCCCCGCGGAGGAGACACAGTGATGCTTCTCCTGAGACTCCTGTGAACATCAGATGGCTCTTAGTGCCATCTTTACCATGATGGGGGGGGTGGAGGGGTGGGGGGGCCGCCGAAGCCGATCCGGGCCAGGCTGATGGAAATGCATGGAGATGAGATGGTCTGAATTCTGAAAGCATGGCCCCGCATCTGCGATGGTAATCTGATCCTGCCTCTTCTATCTCGCCTCTAGACTTCAGGGCCTTGTAACGTCTTAAGATCGATCTTTGCCATGTCACATTAATCATCTCCCGATGTCGTCAACCTGTCCAGTTCTGTCTTTTTTTCAGTAGTGCTGCTACATCTGGAAGGGCTGGTTCTGCATCACAGTTAACCCCCCCCACCCCCCCGCCTAGAATAACCTGCCATAAAAATAACAATAAAAAACTCTATAATCACAAAAGTAAATGGTGTGGGGGAAAATGAGAGAGGAACTTAGCGTGTCATAAAAAAAAAAGTGTTTACTTGTACTGTTTGAACACAACACACACTAGGTCTTTCAGATCTTGGATTGGTTGAGCATCACTGACTCCCCAGTTATGACATGGAGCTTATAAATCACGGCAGTTTCACCTGGACTGACTGTAGTTTATGCTCCCAATGTGCCTAGTGAACATGAAGAGAGTGCGTTCCTGGCTTTCTCACCGGCAGCAGCCAGCAGTGCGTTTTATGGCTGACACTATTGTTTGCTAAACTGCCTGCTACTGCTTTGTGCACCCATATAACTGTGACCCTGCCTTCCTCTATCGCAGCAGTCCTATGCTCCACCCCCTCACCCGATGGCTCCTCCCAGCCCCAGCACCAACAGCTGCAGCGGCCCTGAGCAGCTCAGTAAGACCAACCTGTACATCCGAGGCCTCCCCCCAGGGACCACAGACCAAGACCTGATCAAGCTGTGCCAGCCGTGAGTGTCCGATACCTTTGCTAACACACATACACACACACACACAGTCGTGTAATCATATCTTTTTGGGGACCGCTCATTCATTTCTATGGGAAAAATGCTAATGCTAACTATGACACCCTTAACCCCTACCCAGCCCTAACCATAACCATAAGCAACCAGACAAAATACAAGAGTTTTTGCGTTTTTAGTTTTTTCATTGCAGTCACGGATTTGAATAAAATAGAGTTTTCCCATGGGGACCTGGAAACTGGTCCCCATAATGTAAAAAAAAACGGGAAAGACAAGGTGTACCTGGACCACACACACACATACACACACACACACACACATACACAAACAGGCCTATTTAGCTTTGTTAGGCTCCCTCATAAGGGTCAATTTGATAGTATGAAGGGTTTAAACTTGAAAAATGACAGACAAGGTGCTGTGAAGTGTAGAAAAATGGGCTCTATATCACTGCGCAGGACTTTTTGTCCCTAAACGCTGCAGGCGGGCGGTGACATTTGGACAGGTCTGCCGTGTGCTTCTGAAGCTTCCCTGAGAATTGGCTTTGAGGTTTGAGGCCTTCCGCAGTCACCGGGACATGTGGCGCTCCCGCTTCCCCTCGTCATCCTCTACTCTTACCAGCCCCTAGAGATCCCCGAGGGGACAGAGATCACACGCAGATCTCTGGTGCCTGTGAACTAGACCTGCTACTGAGAGCAGGAGGGCAAGATGTTTACTGTGAAACACACACACCTCACATTAACGCCAGGCTGCGCTTGTGACACGTCTAAATCGACTCATATTCTCCAGTGGCGTTACTCGCTATAACAGAAATGATTAGTTTTTAAAGCGAGACATACTATCCAATAAAGTGGAAAGTTACCTGGATAATCATACACAGTTAAAGCTTAATATTTCATATTACTGTTATTCACATGAACTTTATGTAGGGACAGACATTCATCTAGGAACCTGCAGTTTTTCCATCATGCTAACCTCAAAAAAAACAAGAGTTATATTAGAATATGGTCATGCTGTGACTTAAAGCCAAGTACGGTGGAAAGCATAAATGACCGCAGTGTGATTCCCGAGAAGAAAAGCTGCAATATCCTCCTTGTCACGATGCATCAAAGCAGCGCAGCAGCTGTGTTCTCGAATCTCTCTCGCTTGGTTATCCACTGATATCGCAGTGCTGGAGATGCCCCAAGGTACGGCTAGGAAGTGCCACAGGGACAAAGAGGACCAAGTGAGCCAGTCGGCCAAGACTGATGCCCCGAGCGGCTCATTCTCAGCCTCGGGGAGGGAGAGAACAACACTCTGTCGATGGGGGTTTCAACCCATATTCTCCTGAGACCCAGGGAAAAAAGTGTCCTTCAGTTTTAGGTTTTTTGTCTTTGGAGGAAATAAGACATCTTACAATTTAGATTTTTTCAAATTTATTTTATTTCAAATTTCACAGCATGTTCTCTTTAGTGCCAGCATGGAATAAATATGTTTCCTTACATCAGTGAAAAGATAGATGGAAAAACAAAATGTCCAATGGACAATGGACATAAATGAATGGATGGGGTCTCAGGAGGATATAACAGTCACCAAAAGTTGGCCAAAATGTACAGGTACAATGGACCAAATTGGACGCTAAATGAGATTTCATACAAATAATTTAACTGGAATGATTCAGGGTGCTGCAGTGGGCTTCCTCTAACTGGCCTCCATTTTAGAAAGTCATTAACTACTACAGCACCTGCTGCATGACCTTTGAATGCCAACACGTCTTAGAAGTCACCTGTTTAATAAGAAGAGCTTAAAAGTAACTTTTTCATTGTGACCCCCCCCCCCCAATACAAAGGATGAGTAACACTGTTGAGTGTTAAGTGTGCAATTCACGATAAAGAGGGGATTTGAGTAACACTGCTGAGTGTTAAGCAAGCAATTCAATAAGAAGATGGACTTGAATAACACTGCTGAGTATTAAGTGTACAATCCAAGAGGGAGATGGGCTTAACATGGATTGACGTAGACATACCTTCTATGGAGGAGCAGGGAGCATTGAGGAGACTTCCTTTGTCAACATCCATCCCTAAAGCCAGATAAAAGTGGGAAACATCATCTTTACATAAATTATCACATCTCAGTGGCTGTCTGAATGTCAGAATGTTTAATTGTGCTTCGATTCCAACAACTGATTCAACCAGTTAAAGCCTCATTTTAATCTCATGAAGTAATAATTAATGCAGTATAAAGATCAAATCATGTGTCCTGAGAACTGATGTGTGTAAAACAATTTGAAATGTTAATAAAGGCTGCTGGTAATGAAATGAGCTGTTTTCAGGGATGTTCTCCACATGTAGTATTTTTGTAATGAAACTGCGGAGAATAAGCTTGTCCGCAATCTCACTGGTCATGATGGTCGCTGCGACCCGGCAAGGTGGAGCCCGCACATGCTGGCTCACAGAGTCAGAGGGGATGTTAACCTCAGGGTCCGTCAGTCATAGGTGGGTGGGGGGGAGCAAAGGCAGGAACACAAAGCTTTGCTCCAAACAAAATTGGCCTCAAACTCTTTGTGGAACGACAGGACAGCTTGTCCAGCCAGGGAGGAAATACTAATGTGGTTTTAGAGGGAGGCTGCCCTACTCTCATCAGCAGTCATTTTCCGGGGGGGGCACTGGCGGCTTGCGGCAGTTTTCCCACACCGCGGTGTACTGAGACTGGCAGTCCTGCTGATGAATATTCCTCCCACGCACAGAGCCCCCCTCCCTTTTCCCCATAGCGCCAAACTCCCCCCCCCCACACCCCCCGGGTGATCAGCTCATGAATATTGCTCCTGAACGCTGGATGACCCCATCCACGTGGGTGTCCTCACAAATTCATGCTGCTACTTCTGATGCTGCTCTCCAGCCACCCCCCCGCCATGCACCCTTGTGTTTTTTGACGGACTTCCTTTGCCGTACACACAGGATGTCATGGCTGGGCTCCTCGGTTCGGTGCTTCCAGCTCGTTATTCATTCCCCTCTGCATACATTGTAACATTTTTTTTTATTTTTTTTTTTTAAGATGCACTCAGCTTCAGATGTGTCGCTCTGGCTGGGGAGATTTATTTTGGCGTTGATTTGCAGCTGCGCGAGTGGGGGCCCTGAAGGCAGACTGACGCGGAGACGGGAGAGTGGGTGCCGCCTTCACAGCCGTTCAGCCGTGCAGCTTCACATGAGGCCAGCAAGGATTGTGGAGTTTCGAGTACATATACCAAATGATTGTTTTTGGTATAATCCAGCTGTAGAACATTCATAATGTAGGGGACAAAGTAACATTCATAGAGTCACAAGTACTCTAGAAATACATAGCAGAACTTTGCAAATGAACATATCTTCATATATGGATTATCCGGATCAAAAAATCAGCAGCATAACTTAAGCTTTCATGCAAAAAAACATTGCATGGTCCCTCATTTCCATACAGGCCATTCGCTGGTCAGCCCTGGGGTCCTCAAGCACCAACATGCTGGCCAGAGTGCTGGAATGGGATTGGATGAGAAAGGATGGGGCTGGGATGAGATTATAGTTTAGCATGTTGAAGTAGGCCCTGCAATGGGTTGGCGCGCCATCCTGGGTTATTCCCTGCCTTGCACCCATAGCTGCTGGGTTAGGCTCTGGACCCACACAATCCTGCCTTGGACATGCGGTATAGAAAATGGATGGATGGATGTTTGGGTAGAATTGGGCAGCCAGTAAGTCTTGGGGGTTTATTTTTCATTTAGACATCACTGGAGTTCTTGTTTCATTTCCTCCATCTTCTGCATTTCCACTTAGACCTGGAGTAACTCTGTTAGCACCAAGTGCAATGCTGTTATCAGCCGGCGAGGGGGGGCATCAGTAGTAGAGAAAGCAGCCAACTGCCTCACATTACCTGTGGGGTGTGTCAGCGCAAGCTATCTAACCGGCGTCCTCTTCACAAGGGCCCTCGGCGTCGGTCGGCAAGTGGCCCAAATCAGGGCTTCCTTGTCAAACTCTTTGTAGGTTGTGAATGGCGCGGATTATCGGTTGGAAACGAGAGAAAGGAAAGGCAGACGTTTGTACGGAGAGCACGCTCTGAGCCGAAGGCTGCGTTTTTCACACTTAAAAGACCTGACAACAATAATGAAAGAGGTGAGAGTGTGTAGGGTAGGGTGGGGGGGGGGTAACGCTGGTGGTCTTTTTCACAGCATTGGTGTTTTGCTACAGTATCTTTTTTTTCTCAGTAATTTTAGGCAGTGAAACATCTGCAAAAGCCCACCACCAGGCTCATGCGCTCAGCTGTGACTTAATTCGCCGAATTCGCCAGCTCTCTTTTGAGCCCCCTCCCCCCCACCCAAGATCTGCTGTTAAAGTAATTGGAGAATCAGACCCATACCAAAGGGAATAGATCCAGGACATTCTGAACATGCTGATTTTGTTTTCAGTCTCTGTCTTCATTTATTTTACCAGACAGCCCCAATGGTTGTTGGGGCGGGGGGGGGACTCTAATATGGACAGAGGTAACAGTTCCCGAAGCTGAAGAACACATGCCATGTCATGTAGTGCCGCAAGTACTACAAATAATTACACTAATGCTCTACACATAGTGCTGTGGCTTTCATTCAATGTGAAATGTGTGCATATTGAACAAATTCAAACATTAATATTGATATAAAATATGAAATTCCAGCAGAGAGCATTGCTTGGTGTCAGATGTGTCGCTCTGTCTGGGGAGATATATTTTGGCGTTGATTCGCCGGTCTAGTGACAAGCCCCTTCATACGCAACGGAAACCTCTGGCAGCTTTCAGTGAATCTTAGTATTTACCTTCTTCCGGATGCTAGTACCATAAGACTGGTTCTTATCTCTGTCTGCTTTATCTGCACCCTGTTCGTAATAACTTTACTTGTCTTACCAGATACTTTTTAAACTACGACTTCCCACGATGCAATACAGTTGTAATTTCTCCCTAATGACTTAACGTGTGGCAGATTACAGCTTGGCCTCCGTGAAAATATCAGACGGAGTTCGGGCCGTTCCGTACTTCCTGTCAGGCACCTGCTGGTTGTTAACAGGGAAAGGTCCCCCCCCCCACTCCCGCACAGCGCTGTGTGATCCAGAGTGTGAAAGAAAAACGGCGGCGTGTCAGAGAAACGCACGTCCTGCCTTCAAGGTCTTCGCAGGGGTGAAAAAAATCCTGGGAAAAAAATAGGTCGAACTGATACCTAGAGTCAGGGTCCCGTTTGCGCTGTTCCAAACGGCGCAGCCACACTTGGACCAAAGCAGTTCAGTTTTCCCCCCCTGTCTGTCGCCGCCCCCTTCTGCATGCCCTTGTATGGCTCTCTGAACAAACACCATGCTCGTTACATGATGGAGGCGTGTTTGTCCTTCAGGGAAGCTGAAATGTTTGGGGATTTCTGGGAGGATGTTAACATAACCTCTGCAACAAACATCGCCCCCGTCAGATGCTAATATATGTTTTTGTTGTTTCTCCCTTCACAGATACGGAAAAATTGTTTCGACAAAAGCAATCCTGGACAAAAACACCAATCAGTGTAAAGGTGAGTTTTCTTTTTCCCCCACATGATGGCTTGTGTGATTGGTCAGGTATTGAAGTTTTTAAACAAACATGTGACCGAAGCCAGATACAAGCAGTATCTTCTGAGTATCAATATCTATCTTCTACCCCTTCCTTCCTCCGTCGACTGTTCAGGAGGTTCCTTCTTCACCTCATCTCCACCTCTGTTCCTTTGTCATTATATCCAAATCTTTGTTGTTGGGGGGGGGGGGGCATTGTTCAAACAGGCCAGGCCTGATGCCTTCAAGACAACGGTGTTGACGAGTTACATGGCGGTCTGTGTGGCAGGTCAGAAAGTATGATGCAGCAGTTTTCCGGAAGGTTCCTGTGGTGTTCAGGTTCACCCTTTGTTCCTGCAGTGAGAGGCACAGACAGCAGGGTTTTGAAAGGTGGCATCTAAAGTCAAACAGAATCATGAGTCACACAAGTTTGCACTGAACATCCAGATCCTACCTTTCTGCTGGAGAGCTCACCATCACTCTCTTTATAGCGCTTTGTCATCTCAGCCCAATCTGGTCAAGTTATTTCATTTTGGAGGGAAGTTGCACACAATGCAATCAGTATTACGCGATGTAGACGAAACTCTCACCAGGGGTACAATGGGCATTCGTTTACTGACATTCTGAACTTGCAGGTCTTCTGCCCGCAGTTCCTGTTCTGTAGCAGCCGAGCTTCAGAGGGAAACAAGAGCCATACGGCCGGCTGCGTATGTTCGTTAGGTAGCCCCTGGTTATCTGTGCGTAGCAGGTGGCTTAGTCTCCAGTCTTCATTCCGTAGTTCAATTTCTGAGACGTCAATCACAGGCCTCCTGTTTTGCAAGTTCCGTAATTGCCTCAGCGGGCTGACTTTTTGCACGCCACTTCGGGGCCTGCTGGTTTAGGAGCCACTTCTCCTTGAATCGATATCCTAGCTGGGGAAGGCTGGTGGGTCAAACGTGAAAAAAAGGAACCCATCCAATTAGAGTGCAGAAAGTGGGATTGCTTTGACCCCCGCGCCTTTGGCTGCCAGCTCCGCTCCTCTCAGCGACCTCTGCTTCGCTCCCCATCCCCACAGCAGCTCGTGTTAGTAGGAAACGCTCGATTCAGTCGGCCGGCTCACCGAAACTGCCCCGTGAACGGTGCAGAGAGATGAGGTCATGACCCACAGCGCACAACATGGAGCCTTAAATGGCCAGCCGTGAAACAAAAATGGAGTGGAGTAAACCCTTAAACCCCCCCCCCCCAGCTCTGTTTTCCGCAGTCAGCTAGATGCGTGTGGTCTTTAAGGTTGCAGGAGGGGGCGACGGTGAGTGGGGTCTCCACGCCTAACTCGTCTGGGAATGTGGCGTCATTAAGATGCCGGAGGGATTGTTTCCCAGGCACCGAATGTCGGCCCAGTGGCCACGCCTATGCCCAGCTGCTCCGTAGGAGGGTGGGGGGCCTGGCAGCCCTGGGTTTGAAGGCCGGGGGCGGGAGGGGGAGTGCAGGCAGTCTTTTGCTGTCGGGCAGCAGAGCTCGCTGTGCCGTCACTGACCCACTACAGGTGACACTCAGGCTTGTCACCTAATTTCTCACCTAACTTCCTGTCCAGGGTGCAAACTTCCTGATCACTGTCCCATTTGCTAAGGCTCTGTCGCTTAACACACTTACACATCCCTGTAAATATTCATAAATATTCATAAATTCGTGACTTTTTATTACCCTGTAGCTTAAAGAAATAGATCATTAAATTGTTAAAAACTGAGGGACAAAAAAATAAACCCAACTTGTTTTGTTTGAGATCCAGAATGATTCACACTTCACAGTTACTTTATTACTCCACACCTGCTTTAAAAGCAGCTAAATGTAACATGCTGTGGCTGCGTCCTTCTCCCAGATCCCCTCCAGATAACCATATCAACACACGTAAATGTCAGGTATCAGTAGAAAACTTCTACTGGGTTCAAAGTATCAGCAAATGAATGACTCATTTAAATGTTAATGCTCTGCTTTATCTACTAGGGATCCTGTTTCCTGTATGGACGCTGAGACTCTAAGCAGTGTTGAGATGGTTTTACAGTTTGGATGCTCTCTTTCCTTCTAAATGTTAATAAATCAATCAGAAGAAGTCATTCCTTCTGTCCAACCATGATGAAGTTGGAACTTTAAGCTTCTGCATCATGGTTCCCTCCTTGACAGTTTCACTGGAAATCTGGGGCAAGTTTGAGTATCTATGCAATAAAAAGGCCCCAGGAAGAAAGGGGAAGTTATGTTGTGTGTGAATTTGAGCACGTGTGTCTTTATTTGCTGCTGGCTAGATGCGGTTTACTCTACAGAAAAGCTCTACACGACCACACATATAATAGCAAACCCCACAAAGGTCTTATAAAGCAATACCGCAGACATTAAAGCAGGACCCGGTCAAAAAATAGACAATTTTTCCTGAATGAGCTAGGAGGCTGAGGAAATGACTTCAGTGTTTGAAGGACTTCCATTTCCTCTGCTGGGAGATAACTCTGCGAGCGATACCCGCCGCCCCCCCGTCCCCCCGTCCCCAGCAGGGACCAGGGGAGTTGGTTTTATTGTGAAATTGTGAAGGTGATCAGCATTTATCTCAGATGGTTCACTGTTTTTTTTACCTTGTTTTGCTGACCAAGATGACTTTGAAAATGGCCTTTTTATTGCTTGGAGCAACTTGTCTAAGTCCTTTTATGAAAGTGCGGTAATAAGTACCGTGCTGGGTGAAAGTTTTCAGACCGGTGCCTTAGCGTTCCTATATTTTTAAAACATTATTCGTAATGTATTTGTAATAATGGGTGTGTACTGACATCCTGCAGCAGGGGGGGGTCAGGTGATATACGCTTCGGCATGTAGTTTGGACAACCGGTAAACTCCAAAAAAAAGCCAAAATCCCCAGCAATTAATCCTGCCCCCCTCTGTTATGGCCTCCCTTAAGTGTTGTGTCCGGTATTCACGCCCAGACGCCAATGCCCGATCCCACCCCCTAGCCCTTTCCAAACCCCCATGCCCGTTTTGCGTATTTCCTTTTGCGCTGAAGCTGCCACGTTCGCCATCTTGTCTCTCCCCATCCGCCAGTATGTCCCCGCTCTTTCCTTCCACCCCCCTGTCAGGCTTTCTGTCCTCTGCCTGCCCAGAGCCAGTCTAATGTGATCAGTTCTTTAAAAACTTTCAAGATCAAGCCGAAGATTTTAAGATTCTGCTGAGAGACATTGCGCTAAAATGCAAGTGAAAGCTAACGAATTAAAACGGAAATACGTCGATTCCATTAAGTTTAGATCTTCAGCCTGATATTTAGTGCTGTTGGCAACAATTACAGGTACATTTGATTAATCTGTCATTTTTGAGCATTAATTTGGGGTGGCATCCGTTTTTCTTCATAGATCTGCTCTCAACCCTGGATGGTTTTAGTTTAGATATTCAGCTCCTTGGCAACAAGGCATTTTAGTCTGAGCTTTGACCTTCACTCTCTGCTACTGAGGCTGCTTCACTGCACCTTTGTCCTTGAACTTCTACTCTGTCGTTCTTCCAAATTTGGGATCCTTCTCCTGTTTCCTCCCTGCCTGGCCGCCCTGAATTCTGGCAGCGCCTCCTCTCAGCAGCATCTGAATAATACACTATGCTTCACTTTGCTTGATTATGAGGTTTATGAATGTTGTATTTGAGGTTCTGATCCGCAGGGCACAAGCACTTTAATCCGCACCTCCGTAGAAAGATTCCTGGTTTCCCTGGTTTTATTTTCCCGAAATATAGACCTAAACTCAATATCCTGACAAAGGCAGGTTTTATAATGAAATCGCAGAGAATTACCATCATTATTCTGTCACAGAAACATCACACACCACTTTTCATTGTTGAAACCTAAGCTAGGAGAACCTGGAAGTACAGAGTCCCATAACTTTATCTTCTTAAAGGTCCACCAGAGTTCCTGAAGGATTGGCTCTGACATCGCGCTCTTCCGTTAAGTCCTGCCATCCCTGTGTATTTACATATTCACGCATCCCATTGGTGTCTACATTTCCAAGTTGTGGGACAGAACACTTTCTAAGTCTATCAGTCGACATTGAAATGGGTGCTAAGTTCTGAGAGCTTTAGGGCAAACAGAGAATGACTGATGTATATTTCTACAGTACATATTTACATACATTTGGGGTAAGCTCACTGTATTACATTTCAAACATATGAAATACGCTTCAGCTGTGTTTGCTCAATGCCCTGAGAAATAAATATGCGGGGGGAAAAAAAACAATTTCTGCAAAGCAATAACTCAGGCACAATGCAAGGCATTGCATAAAGGAACAAATAAGATAAATTTATGTTTTATGTCCTTTGTAAGTGAGTAAAGGGGAATGAGACCAATCTGTGCTTCCATCATCCGTTTCTTATTAGATGCCTTGGATATAAATGTTTAAAAATGTGTTTTTTTTTTCTGTTATACGAATTGCTGGTGCATTTGTGATTATGTTTGCCGATGAGAATTTTTTTTTGTTGTCCTGGTGTTGTTCCAAAGTTGCTCCACGATTCTAGGCTAGATTCTGCATTCCATGTCATCTAGTTAGTCAGCGTGATTTTGGTGTTCCAAGTTGCTTGTGAAATTCCGATACTGTCCGGAGTTCCTCTGGAGTCCCCAGTTCCCTCAGGCTCTATCAGTCATTCCAGCTCTATCAGTCATTCCTGGCTCAAATCCAAATGTTTAATTTGTGATCCATAAATAGCAGCCTGTCTCTGTATCCCTAAACTTAGACTCTGCTTCCCCATCCACTTCCTGCTGCCTGCTGTCCGCTGTGTGGCCCCACCTTGCTGGCTCTGAAGCTCCCAGCACTAAATGCCTTGTAGAGGGACATGGCTAATGGGACTTAGGTCAAACACTTTCATTTACTCGCTTTTTTGGCAAAAAATCAAAAAGCACATCTCTCGAATTAATATATTGTCTTTAGGGCACCAGCAGAGGGCAAGTCGTGTCTACTTACCACGATTTATCTCAAGCCGGTTACCCCCTCTGAATGGT